AAGAGCGGCGAGCGCGAGGAGGGCAGATGGTGGCCGCTGGACGGGAAGGATGTGCGGTTTTCCACATGTGTCAACCGGTGATCCAGGCCTGCTCGCCGCAAACCGCGCCCATCGGAGGAAGATGGCCGAAGCGGAAGTCACGCTCGCGGCAACGCTTTCTGCGGGAAGACGAGCTGGACACAGGCCGCGGATCGATTAACGATCGCGCGAGGATACTCCACGATTAGCGTCAACAGCGAGCACGCATCGCTGCACGCAACAGGTGAGAAGTTTCCGTAAGCGCGTGCGGTTATTCACGCATCGAGGACCGTGGTAATTGGGCGAAAGCGAGCTTATAGCGCTTCCACTCGTTACAACGATGACATTGTGCGAGTTGCCGGCTACCGATCGCGCTGATTCGCCGCGTTCGATAGCCGGGTAGCGGGGAATTCGAATTTTTTCGATTTCCAATGAAACGAAACGAATGTCGGAATTTTACTCTGTTCTCGAGACGAGTAGGTGAAGTCGGGAAATTATTTTTTCCCGATTTATACTCGAAATATCCGCCACCGGTAGCCTCTGCTCGGCTGATTCGAATTAACCCGAATTTCTGGTTGCTTTTGAATTCCAACTGGAGCGGGACGTGACTCGATACGAACGTCGACGACAATCGGTCAACGGGGTCGGGGAAAAATAGCCGAGTAATCTTGTCATCCCCTGTGGTGGGAAAAGGAGGGCGGAGAAGGCGAAACGAGGAAACGAACCGGATCCGCGTATAACAAGTTTTCTAGAGTTTCCTCTGACTCCACCTTCGCCAGCCCCGATACACGATACGATACTCCGTTCGGCGCAGCATTCTCCCAATTTTGTCCCTTTTTCATAGTCGTAACGAAGCATCGCGGCTACGATACGACGACGAGAAATAAATTCGACCGGAGGCTCGTAAAATAGTTTACGGTTACCCTTTGGCTCGACCGCACGGAAAACTCACGCGCCATTTTTTCCCCTCTCTCTCGGGGTCGGTCGTGAATTCGGAAATTTTTGTAAAACACCAAAGGTAGCACACAGGTCTCGCGCGTTTTACACCTCGGATAGTAAACCCGGAATTACTCGGAACCTTCGAGCCGACCCCCCGTAAGAGACTTCCTTTACCGCAGTTCCACCCCGTTTCATCGGCGAATCGCTGGAATCGGCGATAAATTAACCCGACGATAATTCCGACAGGGAATATCTCGATTGCGCGAGTTTTCCCGCCTCGTTCCCCCGCCCGTGCCCCGATAACGAGTATAAGAGCCGAGGCGAGTCCGAGGAAATTTCGCGGCGCCTCGTCTCTCGAACGAAATTTCCTCGTGGACAGTCTAATATCGCTAAAAGCTTTTTAATAAACAGTCTTTGAGCACATCGGTGCGGCTGGTTGCTCGCGTAAGAATACGGCCGCGTGCAGGGGCTGCCTTCTCACGAGAAATTCTCCCCTTTCTCTGCTGTTTCTCCTGCTGGGACAGTGAAACGAAGACAGTGCGGGGAATTCAATGGCGAACCCCCGCCGGAAGAACGCGGAAGCGACTACGGTAAGAGGAATTTGGGAGAAATACACGGGGGCGAATCGGGGGTTGATAGAAATGGTATTAAAGCGAGAGGGAAAAGGAACGGAGAGAGTGGGTACACGGTCGAGCAAACCATGTTTCTGGATGAAAAGTTGAACGACGAAGTACGGGGGAAAAAGACGCGAAAAGTATGCCGATACGGGGTGCGCGAGGAAAAGCAGAGAAATAAATAACGTAGTAGTTGCGAAACAGGGAAAGGGAGATTCGTGGGTGGAGGAAGAAATTGGAAAGGACGGGGGAGAAATAGAATCGGGATGAGAAACGAATGCCAGGCGTGAAAAGCGGACAGGGGCGAAGAGGAAATGGAAGGAGCCGAGAATAATAAGAAAATGGAGCCGCGAATTAGGGACTGTTACGAGTTACGATCTTCGAAATACCGCGTGTTCGATGAAACAGAAATTAAACGTAGCAGCGCGGGGAAATTAGAAAAGCTGCGGCGGAGGGGGGCGAACGTAAACGGGGAAGAAAAATATCGGCGAGGAAGCTCGACTGGCCGAGAGGAAATAAGCAAGGACAAATAAAA